AAACACGGATTCCGAACACTTCAAACAGTTTTCTCTGCAGCATAGTGGTGGTCAGTTCGTTGTTCTTTGACAACCAAGTGTCCAGGAACTTTAGGTGCAGGGGCTTTAGTTTGGTGGCGTCTTCTTTCACGGTCCTCGGTTTCCTGGCGAGACCACTGCCGGATTTCCACCGTCTTAGAAAGTTGTAGACGCCCTGTCTGCTCACGATCACGTTGTGATGCCTCTGTAATCCATCTCGTATCTTCTCAACTGACATCTTGCTGCTGTGCATCCTCACAATCGCTAATTTCACTGCCTCCGAAAATCGCACTCCTCTCTCTGTCCGCGCCATTTTGAACGAATCGTAAAAAAATTTAACAAAACGAAAATCGGACTCGGGATACCTCGGGTGTTTCATCTTTATATAAGGATTATTTGCGATGAGTTCCGAAGGCACACGATAAACGCAAAACACGATACACGATAGAACCTGATAAACGATCTTCACGATAAACGGAAAACACGATAAACGCAAAACACGATAGAAAACGCAAAACCTGATAAACGGAAAACACGATACGATAGGATACGATAGGATACACGCACGATACGATAGGATACACGCACGATACGATAGGATACACGCACGATAGAACACGATAGAAATGTAAAGAATAACGATGCGGGTACTGTAGATGCTTGTGTGTTTGCATATGTGTCCAGCTTCACACATCTTCATGTTTGTGCTCGACTTCACACGCCTTGGAAAATATGTAATAGGTTGTGGCAGATGCATGTGTATTTGTGTATGTGTCCAGCTTCACACATTTTTATGTATGTGCTCGACTTCACACACCTTGGAAAATATGTAATAGGTTATGGTAGATGCATGTTTGCATATGTATTAAGCTTCACGTATTTTCATGTGTTTGTTCGATTTACACGTCATAAATGTAAAATATGTAACCAAGATGGTGTAAAACATTTACAAGTGTATGATGCACAAAGAGAAAAAAAATTCTGTGTGTTTTGTTCTGCAAAAAAATAAATTATGTCCTGTTGAGAAACTGACAATCAAAATAAAGTAACATATTCATTTTACATAACTGTACTGAAAATCACTCATCCAGTTTAAATTACTGTACTGAAAATTGAATTTGTGCAAAAACTCAGAATGAATAACATTTAAAACCAAGAATGCTTGCATGTTCATCTATAAATCTCCAAGATATTTACTAGTTAGTTTGTAGCGCCGCATCAGGCAGTCTTATAACACATTTCATAATGTCAGTTTGCATGAATAAATCAATTTATCCTTGTTCCTCATATCTTCCCGAAATTCTAGTCTACAGTTTATTTACACAGCACATCACAAATAGAAACATTCAGGAAAAATAATTCACTAACAATAAAATCCAAGTTAAATAATCACATGTACATATAAATCAAAGAAATATTAGGTTATATTCCAAGTAAGTTAGTAACTTTATCTATCTCTAACATTTCTATCTACTAAGTCTTCTATATTTCCATCTTCCTATCTTATTCTAAAATTCTGTCGCACTATATATATACACCTGTACTCAAGATCCGCTCCTGACGATCAGGAGCACATTACATGTATAAGATCCTTAAGATCAGGAATCAATACACAGGTCATTACAATCAGCAGGGGGTTATATAAGAGGGGGCGATTAATATACAGATAAGATGATAATGTGTGAACAATTAAGTATTGAAGAGTTATATTACAGATAAGATATTCTAAATCACTACAAGTTTACAAATTTTTGATCATATCATTGATAACAGTACATTTTCTTGATCATGACATCTGTTTTGGATTCCCCTCTCTGACATCTTTTCTTGTTCACCAATTAGTTCAACAGTCATCTGGGTACTCAGGTGTTGTACAAGTCCTAATAATAATAATTTTCAAAATTATAAAGAAAAAAAATATAATTTTTAAATAGGTTTTCATTACTTCTATTGAAATTAAAGCACAAGCTTTTGAAGACATACTTAAGTAACAACACATGTATAACTAAACATAATGGAAATTTAGACAAAGCGACTCAATGTCAAACATATGATAGTGATACATCTGTAATATCCATGAAACTTACTGAGATACTTAAAATGTTTATGGTGTGCTTTCACTAAGCTTAGCAGTATATAAACATCTTTTGATTAAATGTTGAAGTCCAATCCTCACCTGACTTGCACATTCATACGGATTGGTTCTATGTTGATAATCTCTTTCAACAATCTTCATCACAACATCTGAAAGTCATCAATCTTCAAAATTAAATCTGACGCTCACCTCTCAAGTGTATATAGACTCCCTGTACAAATGCATGGAAAATAAGATTTTGAATAAAAAATGAATTATCTCCATATCACCATACCTGGCCTTTTTAAAAATGTGAGGAAATATTTTAAATACTTTTCTTTAGATAAAATCATGTAGTAAGTATCCAACAATGTTGAAAAAAAGTTATCTCTAGAATTTTACATTTATATATTGAATGTAAAAAAAAAATCAAAAGACATTACCTAAAATGGAAATAAAGTACAACTGTGACTGGTGTCTCAGGCACAACCAATATACACAAGACCTTTCCATCCTTAGCAGCATGCATTAGCTCCACATTCCTTGCTTCTGCAAAAATATACAATGAAAATTTGTTAAAAAATGAGAGCGAAGCTTTATATTGAATGAAAAATGCTTTGTTCCTCTACTTGAAAAAAATCAAAAGGCATTACCTAAAATGGAAATAAGGTACAACTGTGACTGGTGTCTCAGGCACAACCAATATACACAAGACCTTTCCATCCTTAGCAGCATGCATTAGCTCCACATTCCTTGCTTCTGCAAAAATATACAATGAAAATTTGTTAAAAAATGAGAGCGAAGCTTTATATTGAATGAAAAATGCATTGTTCCTCTACTTAAAAAAAATCAAAAGGCATTACCTAAAATGGAAATAAGGTACAACTGTGACTGGTGTCTCAGGCACAACCAATATACACAAGACCTTTCCATCCTTAGCAGCATGCATTAATTCCACATTCCTTGCTTCTGCAAAAATATACAATGAAAATTTGTTAAAAAATGAGAGCGAAGCTTTATATTGAATATGAAAAATGCATTATTCCTCTACTAAAAATAAAAATCAAACGGCATTACCTAAAATGAAAATAAAGTACAACTGTGACTGGTGTCTCAGGCACAACCAATATACACAAGACCTTTCCATCCTTAGCAGCATGCATTAGCTCCACATTCCTTGCTTCTGCAAAAATATACAATGAAAATTTGTTAAAAAATGAGAGCGAAGCTTTATATTGAATATGAAAAATGCATTATTCCTCTACTAAAAATAAAAATCAAACGGCATTACCTAAAATGAAAATAAAGTACAACTGTGACTGGTGTCTCAGGCACAACCAATATACACAAGACCTTTCCATCCTTAGCAGCATGCATTAGCTCCACATTCCTTGCTTCTGCAAAAATATACAATGAAAATTTGTTAAAAAATGAGAGCGAAGCTTTATATTAAATGAAAAATGCATTGTTCCTCTACTTAAAAAAAATCAAAAGGCATTACCTAAAATGGAAATAAGGTACAACTGTGACTGGTGTCTCAGGAACAACCAATAAACACAAGAACTTTCCATCCTTAGCAGGATGCATTAGCTCCACATTCCTTGCTTCTGCAAAAAAATATACAATGAATATTTTTTAAAAAATGAGAGCGAAGAGTGTAACATGTACTTCGGGGAACAGAGGAAGGAATTTTTAAGTCAGATTTATCATTAGTTATATTTCTGCCAGTGTTGGCAGGGGCATAGTATCCGGGGGGGGCAGGGGGGCTTGCCCCCTCCCCCCCCCCACTTTTTTCCAAAACCAACATTCACTATTAGAAATGTACCAAAAATGTAGTATAAGAATTGGAACTAAATGTAATTGTCTCTGAGAAAAAGTTAACCCCCATTAACTCCCCCCTTTATTGCCTGCCCCCCCCCCCCCCCCCCACTTTCAAAAAGTAAAAAAAAAAAACAATGCTACGCCACTGGTTGGGACGGATAAATTTCCATAATTAATAGCCATTCTCTGTAACCACTTAAACTTCGTTGCCACGCATGGTCACCGATTTTGATGAAACTTCACCCATGCTTAGTACTTGACACCAGAAACAAATATCATACAAAATTTCGTTGCTAAGTGTCTCGGTTGCTATGGCAACAGCCGGAAAAATTTGAAAAATCGAGATTTTCAGACACTTTAAATCTTGACTGTGGCTTAATAAAAGCTAGAAAAAGCAAACAAACCATTCTCTCAAAACATGACACCTTGATGTCACTTATACTGTAAAGAAACTGTTTAGAATATATCTCTAAGTAAGTGGTAACCAAGGGTACATTTGGAATACATTTAAAATGCTGAAATATGCTGAAAAGCACTCCATATTCACTAATGGTAGGTGTTACAGGCTAAAACTCAATCAACGACTTAAGAAAAACAATGAAAATGTTTGACCTTAAGTATACAAGTATAAGCAATATTATTCTATAAATAACTTTTATGGTTGCCATGGTAACACAGTGTAACCATGTAAAACCAGTAACTAAGATTGGGTTAATGCTACTGTCTTAAGGAAAAACATGAAAATTCATTACTGACAAAAATGCATCCTCAGGACCTTGCAACACCAAAACCATAAGAAAAATTGGGTATAATTCTAACTTTGCAGTGTTACCATGGAAACAAAGTACCAGTGTTTAAAAGTGAATTATTTTTCGCTGCATTAAGAATTAAATTGCCATATAATCAAGAAACAAATTAAAGGACTCAGCTTGAATAGTACTTATCTGTTAGAACTGAAGTTGAATATCATATATTGATAAAAGTTGATGAAGAAAACAACACTGTTGCTATGGTAACCAAGAAGGGAAAATGTTCGATTTTGTGAACTTTATATCAATATTAAACCCTATGTGCCAAGTTCTTGCATCCACTTAGAGATTGGATGATAGTCAAAATTAAAAGTCAGGTTAGCTGTTAATAAATATCAATCATAAAAGTTTTGGGAATCTACATTTAAGGATACGTATCCAAGGAAAGAAAATATTTTTCAGGTTTTTAAGCATATATTTTCTGCTTATCTCCATAGCAACGCTCTATTTAAAGAATCTAATCTGAATTTTTTCTAATGGGAAAACTAGGAGCACACCAACATCTTTAAAAATTGATCATTAGTTATGAGGAAATGTGCTTTTTTAAAAGATAGGATCAGGTTTAAACATACAGAGTGTTACTTTGAAGGCTCTCTGTGGTATAAAAACCTTGGCAACCATTGCCAACCAAAATGAAATATTATTTTGTTCTTGGTATATGTTTCAAGGCTCTTTTTTTTCTATTATTTGGTCACATTTCATCCTATAATTGCTTTTTATTTTTACTTGTATGACTTTATAAAATTCAATGAATATTTTTTTTACTTTTGAATACTTTGTTACCATAGTAACGTATGTAAAAGTTGATTTACCAAACATGTTTATCATGCATTTAAGACATCTGACCTTCAACTTTTGGAAACAGTCATTGCCAATTGTTTGCTTTGCCGCAAATGTTAACTATGGGGCTCTAAACATGTTAAAAAATGCCATTTTTCGAACTTTAAGACATGTTGCCATGGTAACTATAAAACATAGCAACCAATTTTTGCCTGATTTCAGTTTAGGGTATCAATGACTTTTATCATAGAGAGTTTGGAGAAATTCTGAGACTATGCGTGCCACAGCTCCTATATAAAATTTCAAATCATTACAGAGAATGGCTCTTAAGGTCAAGATCTAGTAAACGGAAGGTGCCTACAGATTTTTCAAATTTAAGAAATTAATTCCTTTAATGATTCTTTATAACATTAGCTTGGTCAAAATAGGTGTTTCGGGGCATTATTTATAGAAAAAGAAGATGAAAAACCATATTTTAAACTGTTATTTTCAATGAAAAAATAAGAAAACTAGTATTGAAAATGGGAGTTTTTTCCATATCAGATAAAGAAAATGTATGAGATTGCCTACAGTTTTTCAGAAAATGGTTATTTGTATGTTCGTAGTCTCTACTTTATAATGATGTTAAATTTAAGATAGGTATCGGGACTACCTTTCATGTGATTTCAAATTGAATTCCATGAAAATACTTTATTTTCTACATAATTCTATTAGAGCCGTAAAGTACGGGAAAAAGAAAGTTGAAAGTGATTATGACGTCATAATGGATTTAGCACTGAAAAGTTATTCTAAAGTCATTTACTAGATCTTGACCTTAAATGAAACAAATTATGTGCAACAAATAAGACACATGTATTACCTTGCAGTCACCGGCCCACATAATGTATACAACTGACAACATCCCAAATCCCTTTCTTTGTTGTTTACTTGGCGGAATTTTTCTTTGCCTTCTAGACTGGTTCCCAGCTCTGGTTCCCATACATTGCCGTGAATAAGTCCTACGTTTATTGGTTTTGTTTACAAGCTTCAACATCAATAAAATCTCCAGCACATTTACAGCTTGTATTGTAAACTAAACTGAAAACATACTTTACACAAAATTTTTACCTCAGTATTATGTTATCCTCTTCATTCAAGTAATATGTAAACTCTTCTCGAATGTAAAACGAACGATCTACTCTGAACAGTAACCCAAATATGGCACTGTGTATTCGATTGAATAGCCAATCAATTCAAATCAAGTTGAGCGGGTCTGCATCGTTATTTTGACGACGTTTGAAACCAGTGGTAATTTTTTGACACTTCATCTAGATTTAAGAAGATTCTTGCCGGAACAACTGCTAGAACTCCCGAGTTGACATGCTCTAAAGGTTTGTTTACGATTTCCAGCCGTTTTTACTTTCACTTTCTGATCAGTACATTGTGCATGTTGTGAAAGAATGAAACTAATCAAAGTCACGGAAAACGACGCTTTGTATGTTATTTTTTGCTAGGATATTAGATAAGTACTTTTGATAATTCTGGGATTAAATGTTTATGTGCGCCACTTTATTCTGTTAAGGTGTATGAATCATAGGGGCTTGTCTGCCGGATTGATAAATGTAACATATTTTTAAAAATTTGTATCTACATTAACCATGTTAACTACACTCTAAAAGTTGCTTTAAATTAATAAAGATTTTGATCAGGCAAGAAAAATAATGTTGTAAGAAAAGTGCTACACTTATCAGGGACCTATATATACTAACCTATATACATGTACATAAACTCTCAACTTTGAGAGTTTATTTATTTTTATTTATATCATTTTGTATTTTAAACTGTGTCCATTTCCTTAAATCACAGGTATAGTGAATTCAGTATGCAGATTATTGAAGGGAAAACATCAAGACGGGGCAAGGAAGACAACAAAACATGATTACCCAGATTGAGGATCCCAGTGTTCTTTGGTACAAACACATTTTAATAATAAATTTCATGAAATCTGTTACTTGAACAAACATTTACATTATTTAGTGCTTGAATTGCTCAGGAGTCAATATCGTCATATATTTGTAAAAAAAAAAAATGTTCAATTCCTTTGAATAGTCTCAAGCTACTAAGCCTACCATGAGAAAATTAAAAGATCTGTCATGAAGAAGAGGCTGGTTCTCAACTTTCATATTATAAATGGCAAGTATTGTTTAGAACTAAATTTAGATTATTCTTGATAAAAAATAACATAAGGGTGTTTGTCAATTCATAGCTATTATTTGTGATTGCACTGTGTATTAATTTTCAAAATCAATTCATTCTCTGGTGACCAAGTGCAGCAGTTTGCTTCAAACTCATAATTTTTAAAAAAAATATTGACTATATTTGTCCATATGTACAAAATGTTAATCACGGTATTAATTCTATTTCAGCATGATTGTCATTTTCAATTTGAGGGATTCTCACCTAAAGTCCTTTTACTGTTCCATATCAGGAAAAAGATCATGAGCTGAAACATGTGATTGGGGAAAAAGGTACATATATCCTAATCCATAACTTCAGTATCATTCTGTATACATGTACAGCTAAATGAAATACCGTATAAGTGGAAATTTAAGCGAGAGGCAAATTTTACGATTTGTCCTTTAAAACTGGTAATTTATTTTTAGCGAGATGCTATTTTAAGGACTTTAAAATGCACATTTAAGAAACTAATACAAATAAAACGCAATTAATTTTTAGCAATATTTAATTTTAGCCATCTCAACACCCTCGCTAATAATGCCAAATTAAATCCTCGCTAAAAATTCTACTTATACGGTATGGTATGTAGCACAATGTTGTTCTCTTTGTAAACTGACAACTGAGTAGTCAGGAAACCTATGATTTCTCAATATTTCAGGGAATTATTCTTTGTTTTTGTGTAGTACCCTTAAAAAATACATACTTCTCAAATTTTAATTTATAGGCTTTTTGTGATAAGGGATACATGACCTAACCCATTGATTCTTCATATAATATGTCAATAACAAGAGTTCCACTCATCTTATTAAATTAATAAATTTACATTTTTTGCTTTTTGAGGTTAAAGGTCATGTATGAACTGTTTATTTATTAGTAAGGTTGTGCCTTGTTTTTAGTTTTATTTATCATGGTATTGTGAATTCTGATAACACAAAGCCGTTGAAAATATTCATACTTATGCATGGCACTGAAAAAAATACTTTTTTTTTTTCTTTTAGGAAAAGCATTAGGAAAATGCCTGCATGGGGAGAAAAGTTTTGAACTCTGAAAAGGGAGGTGTGATAAAAACATTTTGACAGTTGTTGATTTCCACTAAAACCTATATTAGCAAGAAATTAAAGAGGACATAAAATAGTTTTATGTTGATTCACAACTTTAAATTCAAGAATGAACAGTTGGTTTTATTATAAAACATGTCACATACAAAAAAAAAAAACATATTTGTGAAATGTACTATGTCTTTGATATGTATGTAATTTGCAGGATAGGATGTGGGCAACATATACTGCCAAGAATCTTGATGATTTTGTTTTTATGTTTGTAAAAAATAATGTTTTGTATTGTAATAAACAAAGTTAAAGTCAGCTTTTTCTTAAAATGTATATTAATTATGATGTTTACATTTCCGCAACTTATCAATTTGGAAGGAAAACTAATTCATAATTTGAATAAGGCTTCATTCACTGGAATGGAAAACGGAAATTATTAACTTTTGTGGTTATTAAAGATGATATTTAATTAAATTTAAGGTTTGTAATTATCAGATTGTAGTTATTAAAGATGGTATTTAATTAAATTTAAGGTCTGTAATTATCAGATTTAATATATCCTAAATACTGTGTTTAATGGTTGTAAATATTAACTTTACTTTTTTGTAAAGTCAAGACAATGTGGGACATTACATCATATTTAAGTGCATGTAAAGTTAATGTAAAGGTTACCTTTTCCAACTTTGACTTTTTTCAGAAAAGCCAATTAAAGGCATTGTAAATAATAAATTTACATTATCTTTACTTGTATTGTAAAGCCAAATTTTCACGCAGTGCTAGACCTTGGAGGAGTTTATAAGTATTCCGGGCCACCGGACTGGACTCCCGACGGGGGCGTGCAGCCTGTCGGAGGAAACGGAGCTCCAGCGGCCATACACGCACGCACAGGCCGAGAAAGGAGAGGGAAGAGAGGGAGAAGAAGGAGACGGCAGAAGCAATGTAAACAATCGAACAAGATAAAAATAAAACAATAAAGCTTCAGCATAGGCAAGATTGATCTTTCACATGCCTAGTAAATTTTACATCAGTACATGATGAATCAATAATAATGTAAATTTTAAAAAATGATCTGCTGTTAAATAAATTGAGTGCATTTATCTTTCAGACAACAAGGCAGCTAAACGAATGAAGTTAGAGAGGGTGTCACGTACTCTGATGGAGTAAACTTCCAAACCATAGAGTCTACTGATGTGCAAGCAATACCACCTCCATCTGTTCAGCCATCATTGGAAACACTTCCAGTCAGCAGTGTTAAAACAATGGATGAGGTCATCTTTGATATTGAGGCCACAGGCTTAGGTAGGCATCAATTATACCTCTCAGTACATAGGATATGTGACACACCATTTGATTGTATAAAAATCCAGGTAATATCGTATAACATATAGAGCCTATGTCATATTGACATACATTAAGAACACTTTATTCTGGTTGATTATACATTTAAAATAATTATGCTCAATTTGATGGCATTTGGATTTTTATATCCAGACCTTCGAAATTATATATTTGAAGTTCATTCTTAATACATGTACAAAAATTCAAGTTCTGTGACTCCAAGTCCAATATTGTAAACAGTTCACATTTCAAACAATGTTGTGCATTGAATATAAAGGTCCATAGAATAATGACTGATGTGATGGATCAAGAAATCAATGAGTTTGAATTAAATTTTCATGCATCCTCATAATACACTAAAATTCTGCTTCAGAATTCACTTAAACTCATTTAATTCTATTTTACAGCCAAAACTTCCCATATCCTTCAAATTTCTGCATTGAGAAATGGTAGCCAATTCAACCAGTACATCATTCCAAAGAGCCCTATTTGTTAAAAGGCTGAGGAGATTACCGGGATTAGAATGAATGGCATGAAAATGTATCATAACAACAAAGACGTTTCTCCAGTCCCCATTAGATTGGGGCTGTCAAGTTTTCTGAGAATCCTTCGTGAAGACAAGGAGAGCATACTTACAGGGCACAACATTATATCTTATGATATTCCTGTACTGTTAAATGCATTCCAAAAATGTGGTATGGTCAGCTTGCTTAGGGAAAAGATCAGTGGTATCTGCGATACCCTAACCTTGTTTAAATCAACAAAGCCTGGGCTCACCTCCTACTCGCAAGTCAACCTTTTTGAACATTTCTTAGGAGCTGCTTATGAAGCTCATGATTCTTTGCAGGACGTTATAGCTTTAGACAAGTTGTTGAACTGCTTACAACCAAATCTAGAGACAAAACAGTGCCTGACCTACTCTTTGAATTCTGCGATTGAAAGAATAGAATATGGTGATGGTGCCAAACACTCCTTGTCAACCCTTGATCTTCTTGTTGATTCTAAGACTATCTCAAAGGAAAATGCACGTGTCATAGCATTTAGTGGATTATTCTTTGAATACCTGAAACTTGCTTTTCACAGGAATAGCCGAGAGAGAATTCAGGACATAATGAAGGAAGAAATTACTGGAAAGCCACGTGTGACTCGCTCAAAGAAAATTTTGGACTCAATTTGTGATTTTTGTAAAAGAAAGTTCAAGAATTCCAGAATTGTAATATTGTTGTTCAAGAAGTTTACTGTTGGTGTTCAAGAAGTTTATTGTTGTTATTCACGAAGTTTTGATGTTGTTGTTCAAGAAGTTTATTGTTGTTATTTACTAGTAAGATTAAGTCATGGTTAGAATTACAATTTATTTTGTGTGAGTATTATATCGGAGGGTGAAATTGGGCAACTCCACTTGTAGACTTATCCTTTTTTTGAAATTTCATGTTAAATGTCAACTACACTGTGTTTTCTTAATTTCTTGTTCTCCTGTGTGAGTGTTACATAGGGGGCGGAAATTTGGCCGCTCCACTTGTAGACTATTATATTTTTGAAATTTCAGATTACATGTCAACTACTTCATTTTTTTTTCATTTTATGTTCTTCTATGTGAGTGTTATATCGGGGGCGGAAATTGGGCCGCTCCCACTTGTAGACTATTATATTTTTGAAATTTCATATTACATGTCAACTACTTTATTTTTTTCATTTTATGTTCTCCGGTGTGAGTGTATATCTGGGGCGGAAATTGGGCCGCTCCACTTGTAGACTATTATATTTTTGAAATTTCAGATTACATGTCAACTACAGTGGAGTCGCCAATTCCGGGTCGTCTCCAATTCCGGGTCACTCGCGTGTATTTTATGCCTAGTGTTAAAATTTAAGCGCAAAAAACTTAATGAATACGCTAGTCATGAAGAACTGGTCTTTCTGTATGTAATTAATAAAAAAAAATCGTATATAAACTTGAAGACAGCATCCAACAATCGAAATTCTGAAACGCACGCATTAAAGACTTGAATGTTTCTGCAGTGGTGACGGGCTACTTTCGTATTTGTTCGCTGCAGAAAGGCTGATTTAAAAGTTCTAGATAAATAATGATAGCTCTTAAGTATGGCAAATGCATTTATTTTTTAACTGAGAAATCAATCATAATGATCGCTGCTAAAGTAAAAGTGTAATAAATATTAAATCAAACTGTAGTAGTTTCTCCAATTGCGGGTCACGCAGTCCCGTGGCATGAACATGTCAAAATTCTATGTACGAAACCAATCAACAACCATGTATTTACCTTGATTATCAAAAGTTTTCTAACTGGAATATATTCTTTCTAAAAAATAAAATCGAGTTAACCCTTTAAATGCATTTTTTTAAATAAATGAATTTAATTCTAATATTTTTAATCCTAATACATTTTTTTTAGTTCAGCATGTTTTGTTGTGATTGTTTTTAAAATAATTTAAACATATTTCTGTGGTTGTTTTACTTTTTTCCCAAGCTGCATGAATTGTTTCATTTTTCAAAATCATAAAAATCTTGTTCCAAAACGTTCCATGAATATTACACGACCGTTAAGTCACATGACCCGGAAATGGAGAAAATGATTCGTAACTGGGGAAGCTAGGCCTTGCTGAAATACCCCTGTA